TAGGCGCAGAATCGGGCATTGAGACAGAGCCCTCCACACGTTGATCGCCCTTATGGGTGACATTTTGCTTCGGGATGTTCTCAATTGGCTTTTCCTGTGCATTCTTACTCGGGTTCAGCTTCGAGCTGGGTTTCAGGTCAGAAGTCGGCTTAGCACCTTTGTCAGAGACAGTGGGTTTCGCTGATTCTACCACTTTTGTGCGAGTAGTAGAATTCGGGAGGGAGTTCCTGTCCATCTCGAGTTCACGATGGAGAGCGTGCGGATAGATTATTTTGAACTTCCTTACGTATCTCATTTTAACCTTTGATGAGGTGTACCTCCCTCTCCGAGATCAACGTTTTGGTTTAGAATTGATGCACTTGTAACAGGTACAGCTGCAGGTGCTAAGGCATCCACACCTAGAACAGCCGGATCACAATCGCTTGATCTCGACGACACGTGGCTTGTGACCTCACCAACGATTGCCGCCGATACTGGGTTACTCCCTGCACCGCACAGTGGGAAAAAATGCAGATCTAGCGCGCAGAAAATCAAAGTAGATGTTTTACTGTATGTTTATCGATATTTTGGATAAGAATAGATTTAGATGGACAATTTTAATTATTTTATGAAAAAATTTGGCAATTTTTTTTTTATTAACCCATTAAGCGCCGATTTTTTTTTTAGAAAAAACTTAAATTTTTTGGTGTAAATTACTATTTTGAAGCAATTGAAATATTTTATAATAAGCAATATTTTTCGTTATAACTAATAGTACTCCTAAAATGGAAGCTTCTTTTAAAAATTCCGAAACATTTGGAGGGTAAAAAGTGGGTTAAGGCCAAACACTATTGTTATTATATATATCTTTATTATTGTAAATATTACATATCTAAAACATTAAACTATATATATTTTACAAAATTTAGGCGTTACTTATTAAATACTAATCACATTCAGAATCCGAGTTTTGATCGGAATTAGTTGGTAGCATTGGATCCTCCAGTAGTTTAAGGACTTCTTCAGATAGTGGCTCACTATATCGATGGTTAAGAGATGTACTACGAGACAAACTTGATATTTTTGGATCAGAAGAAAATAGCAACCTATTGAAAAGATCCCTCATTGTTTCCTCACGACTAATTTTTCTGGTCTACAGTTCCCTGTAGTTCCGAAAGTCCTTATTTCTGGATTCCATGGCTTCTTCAGACAACATTCCTATGGGCAAAGCTGCACATTTAATTATATCAGCTCCATGCACTAATATTTTGTGTATGCTTGAAGGCATATAGAACCAAGGATATAATTCCACGAAAAAAAAAATAAATGTTTCCTCAGTAAGTTTTTCAAATGACTCTGCGTTAATAGCATATCCACAGGCCATCGTTGAAAGGATGATACTAAAATTTTTAATTAATTTTTCATCAACACCAGTTATCGATGATGCCAAGCCAGGTTGGCTAAAAACGCCTAGCAATATTGCCATCGTTTGTTGTTCCGGATACTGACTTAGGTGTGTCAACAATAATGTGCATTTCTTCCTTCAAATCATTAATGATACGTGCCTTCCTTTCTTCGAAAAGTGGCCGATCGGAGCTATTAATTTTCCACTTTTTCAAAACCAGTCGGTATGAAATGTGCAATATACATTCTAAAAATCGAATCCTTGCATGTAAGGTAGACAGACCGTATTCGTATAAATTGATGTTTGGGGTTAATGACGAAATTTTGTTGTAATCATTCATTACTTTTGCTGTTATGTGCTTATAGCGAAAACCATAAATGTAGGTAAAACAGTGTATATATGAATGTTACACCAATGATATTTTTCAGGGTTCATAAAGTGGACCCTTTACCTGCGGTATTTTAGAAGACTCTTACAACCGATTTCGTTGTAATTTTAATTTTCATTTAGAAAGACATTTGGAATAAATGTATATTCAGTGCATGAGTTTAAAATCAACGTTTGGAGCAGCTTACTTAAATCCCTCATTTTCATACTCACACCCATTACTATTGAACATTAGGATGTACATTTTGAACTTATTTTTTTTCTTATCTGCTATGCTGTGATCTATTCCAAGTCATATTTGATGAATTATATCAAAAAAATTCACAAATTTTTAATTTTATTTGAACAAAACCTTAAAAAAGCTTCCTACACAAAATTGGCATTTTTTCAAAAAATTGCCATAAATCCGAGAATCGCAGGAAGTCGCAGGAAAAAATTTAGTATGATGTTCTAGACAGACACACAAGAAAAATAAAACAAAAATCAAAGCTGAACTCAACTGCACTCCATACTAAACCCCTATTTTAATTGAAGGAATTAAAAAAAACGGACCTTACATATATTTAGCCCGAAACACCTAAATTAAAATAACTTATGGGTTATATAACTATACCATTTAATTAAATACCAATACTATATATCAAAAATGGACAAAATTTTATAATAATATATTCACAGAATGCACACGACCATCGCAATTTTATAGCAAAAAAATGCCATTTTTAACATTGGAAAAATTTTCTGTTTTAAATGTACCGTTATTCCGTTCTAGCTTATCAATTCGGATTATTTTATACGGACTTAAGTACTCTCAACACTCTACTTTAAAACTGCATTAATGTTTTAAAGTTTCCTTCAACTTCATTTTTTGATTTTCTGCGCGCTAGATCGGTATTTTTTCCCACTGTGCACCGTAACTTTATTCTTTTTACTTCTTTTAGTTGATATATTTGATTTATTTAAGGGCACTACCCCGATCCATTTGATCCACGGGGGATCCGAAGATCCCAAAGGTTTCCATGAAGTGCAGAGACAAGTTGAGGAGACCTAAGTCAGTTCCACTCTGCACATAATGGAGACCCCCTTCCCATCCGCCACCCGGGAAGACGCGCCTAGTAGGAGATTGGCAACTCCCCTAGGATGCTTTGGTTGGAGTTGGAACAACAATTTGCTACAAAATGGTTTGTCCGCTCTCTCCAGTTATTGCATCTGTTGCACTGGATGTAGTATGTAGTATTTCTCCTGATAATTTCGTTGCAGACCGAGCAACACCGGGTGTTGCGGCGGCGTTGCTAGGGGATGGAAGTTGAGCAGCTGCAGCAGCAGTCTCTGTGACTGGCCAATCCAGAGCAACGTCTTAGGTGGCACCATCTAGGACATAGGTTGCATTACACCTGGACAAGATTGCGTGTGATCCGAGTATGACACAATGAACAGAACGTGACCGCGGTGAATGTTGGACCCGGGTTCTGCTCGATGCCAGCCATTATTAATAGGATATTGAGCAAATCGGCTGACATGGATTGCTCACTGGGGGAAAACATATGTTTTGAACTGCTGTCGCTGAGTTGACAATCCTTGGCCGGGCGTGGATCCGATCGTCGTGGGAATGCAACAATCCTAAATAGAAAATTGCTCTCAGGGTACAAAATAATTTGAAATGTTCGGAAACGCAAATCTAGTATATATGCCAAAATTAGATGGCAATACTTCAAAATCAACATAACAGCCAATCAGAAATAGGCATTCCTGTTTATCATTTTTACTCGACCAAATTTCTCGAGGAAAAAAGTTTTCAAAGAGAACGTCATTTTGTTTTGTGCTCTCTTAAATTTGAGTCAATATTTTACCAGTTTTGTGGGTTGAGGAACGGTTTTCGAGTAAAAAGTTGGAAAACATGTAAAATGAGTAAATTCTTTTTGGTTCTGGAACGGAACTTAGGTTATAAATAATAATATTGACTTCTTTCTGAAAAAGTCCAATATGAAGAAAATTGTACAGTATTTTTCGGTTAATTGCACATCAAAATTTGCACAATTTTTTGTTCAATTAACCGAGGAACCAATTATCCGAACACGCTTAATTGAATAGTTTGTTCAATTACAGTAATCACGTATAATTGGAACTACTAATGATTTAAAACAAATTCAATGTCAAATACAAATTACGCTTTCTCGCAGTTTTTCCTTAGCAATAAACATATGTTTTGAATTAGTAGAGGTGCCACCTAGTCTTTTTCACAAATTATGTCAAATATGTTTGTAAAAAATGACAGATTATTTTTCAATTATTATCATGCAATTAACCGGTGAAAAGTAAAAGGAAATTTATTTTTGATGGCATGCATTTTTAACCAATTAAGCGGGAAAATCAATTAACAGGGTTTAATTATCCGAGAAAATTTACATGTATTTTCCTGAAATATTTGTTGCCCCATCATGTGGTTCAATTAAGCGTAGAAACCAATTAACCGTAGGGTCAATTAACCGAAAAATACTGTACCGAAATTGATTTCAAGTGGATTTAATAAGGGAGCCGCATCAGCAATTGATAACACAACTGTTGCAGTACAATGATATGTCAAAAATATTTTACGATTCATAAGAAATTTGTACACAAATTCATTCATAAAATATAAATAAGTCCCAATTTAGATTAGGCGAGTCTACTTGCGGCAAGTCTTTGTTTGCAGCAGAGTGGGGCAAGGGGAATAGAAATTGAAAAAAATTGCTCGTACCGGCAATTTTCTTTCAATTCGTTTTGTGTATTTTGTTTGTAGTGTCAGTAATTTGAAATACTAATCCAGAACATTGTCACAAAATGTTAAAAAAATTTTTTTGAAACCGAATTGCCTTGTATGATGCGGCTACCTTATTACATCTGCCTTGGCAGAGATGCTTCGGTTTATTATCTATTCATTCAGTGTAGAATAAGAGTTCACTCACTTACCTTTGAACTATTCCCATCCCTCCTTGTCTCTTTCTAAACAAAACGATGATATCGGTGTTATGCATCACCTTCATTCGTAAACAAAGCAGTTAACGATCATTTTGTTTCAAGTTCGTTGTTTATCATCCATGTTCTCCCTGCTCCCTCTATTCGATGCATGCGGAACGTTTTTAATGTTTGGTTGGTTATTCAGTAAAAACCAAAACGCGCAGTTTGGCGATCTTCATCAATGTTTTTTTTAATAATCTTGTGATACACATAAAAATTACAATAATATTCAATGGAAGAGAAAAGTTAGTAACAAATCATACATACATATGTATTAAATGCTGGAATGTTTCTTTTCTTAACATTTTTCATTACAGAGTACCTCAAACGTAAAGAGAAGGCCTTTAAGGAGGGGAATCGCGAACTTTTGGCGCAAACATGCAACCACCTGGGAGATTTTTACAATCAGCAGGGACGTTATCAGAATGCTGTCAAGGAATACGAAGAAGAAGCTATTCTATACTCCAAAATGGGGAAACAGTTGGAGATGGCTAAGGCTCATCGTATGGTGGGCGAAATGTATATGCTGCTCAGTGACTTCGACAATGCTAAATGCCAAATAAATACCTATTTAAGTAAGCAAACGCGCAGTAGATCGAGAGTCCTTGCTTAAGTTCAGATATTTATTTTTAGAAATTGTCAAGAAACTGCAAAACAAAGTTGAAGAGCAAAGGGCGTATGCTACACTGGGAAGGGCACATTTGTTACACGGCCAAGCTCTAAGTGAAACTGCAGCCTCGAATTCAATGAATGAGTTGCGTCAGGCTGAGCGGGCTTTTCTCAAAAGTCTTCTATTGACAAAAGAGTGAGTATATCTGCTTATTATTTAAAATAAAACAAATTGTATTTCCAATAATTAATTTGCAATGTACTGATTTACCAAGACCTAATAATATATTCTTTTACGTACTGTTTACGTACTTAAAAACTGGAAAAATCTAAAACAATTTTGATCAATAGAAGATTCCTTCAGGTTTTCCGGTATATTACATTTTTAACAATATTAAGTATTTGAAAGTAAATTGTTTCATTTTGCATATAGGTTTATATAGTGGATTATAGGGAAATTCACCATTAAAGGGAAACTCGAAGATGGTCGGTGTATAGGAAATTTTACTTATTTTTAAAGACACATTCCTACTGAACTGACTGTAGTTTGTTTATAACACTGTGCAAGATGAAAAATGTACGATCCTTAAAGGTAACAAATCGATATTTGTATATTTTCAAAATTATTTTTGTACATGTATGAAAAACATATGATATGTATTGGACTGTTCCTGTACTGCAGGAATATTTTTATATTAAAAAGAAAATTTGTTATGGTAGTAAAAATTATTTTTCTGTTGCACTCTACCATTGCGAGTAGAAAAAGTAAATATAGTATACTCTATTTTTCTCTGCCACTCAAATAAGAAAGAAAACCTTATATCTATGTTTTACATGTTGTTTGTGTGCATTGTTTTTTTGTTTTGTGATGTTTGGTTTGCAGTAAAAACATATGATATGTTTTGGACTGTTCTCTTTATGTAAGTCATTTCATATAAGATTTTTTTTGTTCACATGTGTAAACATTTTCAATAAACAAAATAATAAATGTCCTTTTATGTTTTTTGTAATGATCTATCTCCACAAAGCACACAAAAGATCAACATCAAAAAAAAGCTACTACACACAAACAAATAACCAAACAACCAAATTGGTAGATTCTTGCAGAACATTTTGACTCACACTTGCTTTATATACACAAAATATATGGTCTGTCTGAGTCGAGTCGAGCAAATCGGAGCTCTGCTTTATATACATAAATATATGGTCTGTCTGGTCTCGCACTGCAAGAATCTAACAATTTTTACTTTTTTCAATATTATAAAGGAAAATTTTAGTAGCTTTTAAAATAAAGTTTTAAATGCATCAGCATAATTACATTCAAAATGTTTTGAAGGTGTTAACATCATTTATTTATAATAACTTGATTAGATAGTGGTTATGAGTAGTCATAATGTAACGCAGATTTAAACATGTTTTAACTATCTAATATATATATATATATATATATATATATACATCTCACGAATTCCATGTCTCGCACTGTTACAGCGTGCAAAATATAATTAGTTAATAAAAATTTATGTCCCAAATTTCTTTTGCAATTCTTAGAGTAACTTCGGGTAATGTGGACCACCATTTTCTATTTTTGATATTGTGGGCGTAACAACGGTTAAAAATAAAAACAAATTGTTTTCACAACATGGTAGATTTGTTGGCTAACAATATTCAAGGTCAAACATTGTATATATTTGTCTATAAAAATTTTATTGCATTATATTTCAAAAAAACTTAAAGCTGCGAATAAAAATAACTTGGCGGGTAATGTGGACCAGTATGTGTGAGTAATGAGGATCACTAAGTTAAAGGTACGTTGTGGATTATTTGTGATAAATTTCAATTTATTGCACTCTTCGGTAACAATGAATGCAAAAATATATGGGTTCATGTTTTGGAATAGCCTCTATTTTAGGGTACCGCCCCATTTGCGGTATTTTGAAGGACCTTGCTTCATTATGCAAAAGAAGCACCTGTAATTTTGTATATCGAGTTTTCAGAGGATAGAATACCTCCTCGCGTATTAAATGCGCCCATTTTTCGAACTCATCCTCATTAAAAGTTCCCACTTTTTTATAGTGGTCCACATTACCCGACATTAAATATTTTTATTAAAAAGTAATGTTTGGCTTCAAAAATTAATAAAAATTTAAAAATCACCGATTGTAATTACAGCTAAACGTATATTTTTGTTAAAGAAAACAAGAAAACCACATAACTTCTTTATATTCGAAAAAACAACGTGTTCGACTATTTTGCATAAACGTTCGCCTATTGTGCTAAAAAATGTTAAAATCACACTTTTACAATCAGAGCTACATTTTCCCACTTTTTTATAGTGGTCCACATTACCCGACATTGAATATTTTTATTAAAAAGTAATGTTTGGCTTCAAAAATTAATAAAAATTTAAAAATCACCGATTGTAATTACAGCTAAACGTATATTTTTGTTAAAGAAAACAAGAAAACCACATAACTTCTTTATATTCGAAAAAACAACGTGTTCGACTATTTTGCATAAACGTTCGCCTATTGTGCTAAAAAATGTTAAAATCACACTTTTACAATCAGAGCTACATTTTCTACTACTACATTTTTAACATTGCAATTATTTATTAAAACCCAAGTTTGATGTTTGTTTTCGCTAATTAGGAAAACATTTATCAAGACGGCATATACATATTTCAAGCATTTTTTTAGATATGGGGGGTGGTCCACATTAGACGCGTGGTCCACATTACCCGAAGTTACTCTATTAAATAGTTTTACGCCTTTTTCAATACCTGCTAATTTTTTATGAATATGTTTGTAAATTTCGGAGATATTAAACATTTAGAGTACGCACGCGCTTCAAAATTTTCCCTTTAAAAATTTATATCAGTTTCGATATGAAATTTCTGCGAATTGTGTAGAGATAAAATTGCGGACTTTTTACAGCTATAAGGGGTTACTTTTTTACTTTGAACACGCACATGTTGCACTCGTAACGCACTGTTACACACATGTACTAAAAAATTAAATTCGAAACAGAATGTTTTAAATATGGTAAGCCTTATACCCCACACAATTATGTTGTCAGGGTATTATAGCTTTGTGTGGCCCCAAGACCTTTAGTATATCATTATGCAGTTTTGGACTAATCGTCATGAAATTTTTGCCTGTAAGACCGGTTCTAAAACAACTTATTGAAGAACCAGTCAGCGGAGTCGTATTGTCGGACGGGCCGACCATACGATACCCTACCACAGAACTAACTTCTGCGGATGTTTATTTCGAGCCTGGGCAATATTTCATGATATTTGCACCCTATTGACCGATTAGAGGATCAATAGCACATTTTCCTTACACTGACATATTTTCCGAATATTCCCTATATTCAGTACAGCCCTTCTAATTATTTGTCCAGATTCTTTTCACCGTGGGTTGTTCGGCTTGTGGCATATAAATCGACTCGAAAACACAAAAAATAAGTTTTCAGTCGATTTCATCCCAAATTTTTTATGTGATCATCACCGAAAGCTATAGGCGTTGTCCTTGATCATAACTGGAACCTCTTCCAAAATTTTAAAGCGGTCAGCGCTATATTTTTGCCATTTAACGTTAATGGGTTACTAAATAATATATGAATACATAAGCATCTGTAAATATTTAAGTGTAACTCCCACATCCGAGTACATTCGACGATATAATTGGTATAAATTTAAAGGTCAGCCACTCCTCTTGGATATACTGTCAACATCTCGGGGATATGTCCTTCAGGGGTAAATATATACGCCATAGAATACAACTTCAAATTTAACCCGCAAAATATTGACCTATCTTTATCAAAACAGGCATGTTTATTCTTTGGTCAGATCCCTTTCCCCTTTTTCTTTAGTCAGATCACCTTTGCGTCATTATTGCGGCCTCTGGAGCAACAAGAAAATCAGAAAAAATAAAGTTTTTGGTCCAAAGCTATAATACCCTTACAACATAGTGTGTAGGGTATCAAAATGTAACATTTCGATGGAAATAGAAGACAAACTTTGTTTTATTTGAGCTTGCCATCTCAAGATCCACACATAACAGCATTATCAAAAAAAATTCTTATATTAAAGTCTGTATAGAAACATATGTTAATTTTGTCACGCGCGCGTTACATATTTTCTTACATTATTTAACTGCACTTACCACGGGATTCTGTTGCTATATATATATATATAGGTTTATATATATTAATTTTTTCGACGTTCCCACGCCTCTCATTCCCACCCCTGCCGACCGAGGGGGCGAACTCCCCTTACGTAGGGATCGCGTACACACCATGATCCGTATCATGATGGGATTTGAGAGTGGAATAGAAAAACCAGCTACAGAATCTACTTCAACATCCAGTTTGTTATTAAGTTTTACTTCTCATTTAAAAATACAATAATATTAGATTTTATTTGTTCTACGCTCAAGCAAACATCTACATTAGAATATACAGGTTTAAATTCAATATACAGTTTACAAAGAGAATCTCACATAGAGTAATTCGTGCGGTGGAAGTCTACATATAACAGTTGATAGTCTATTACGGTACTAGATCGGACAGAAACATTTATTCTAATAGTAGAAATTAGGAAATCCGAAGGTATATTACCATTTAATATTTTTAGTATTCAACATAATACGTCTACTTTTCAATGTAGGCAAACGAATTAATTTTAACGTACTAGTATAAGATGGCAACACAAAACTACTAATCCAATGTAATCCTCTCAGTGCAAAAAGTAAAAATTGTTTCTGCACAGATTCGATTTTATCAGAATATATTGCATATTGGGGATCACATACAACGGAACCATACTCTAAAATAGGTCTAACAAGAGACGTAAATAGTTGTTTCGTTATATATGGATCCGAGAATTCTTTGGCCCACCGTTTTATAAATCCTAAGACACCATAGGCTTTATTTACCATAGATATAACATGATTGTTAAAATTTAATTTTGGATCCATTAGAATACCAAGATCAACGAAAAAATCTACAGTTGATAAAACCGAACCATTAATATAGTAATGTCTTATCGAAGAAGAATTTCTAGAAAAACACATATGTTTACATTTATTTAAATTCAAGTCCATACAATATAGGCTGCACCATTTAAATCATGCTGGTAATATATATAATATATATATATATATATATATATATATATATAAGAATATATAGATATAAGAAGAATATATAGATAAAAGAAGTGTATTTTTGAAGAACCGCAATAGAGCAATAATGTATTAAAATATAAGTATAAATATAAAAATATTAAATATTTATATAAATATAAATAATTGAAATTATTAATCTCCAATTTAAGATTAACAGGTCAAATATCAAAATTGGAGCAACTTGATATGCAGGCACGTTGTTATCTTAATATAGGCGTGGTTAAAGAACATATGGAGGATTTTGAAGAGTCTATTGCTAATATGGAAAAAGCTATAAAAATAAGCAAATCGAATGATATATTCGAACTTACTCACACATGTTACGTATCGATGAGTCTTCTCTTCCATTGCAAAAAGAACGATGCGACATCGGCATTAAGGTACTGTAACTTGGCCTTAGAAGTGGCTAAACGTCTACAACAGAAAGTGAAGAAAATTTGTGAAACTTTGATAATCAAGTCGGAAATTTTAATTAAGGCTGGTGACTTTGCCAGTGCTAAGCAAATCCTTACAAAAGCTTATAAGAAAAATACCCCAGACGAAAATGATCGACAAACTATAGAGAAAACATTACGAATAAGTAAGTCTGCAAATGTATTTCGTTTTCATTAATACAATATTTAGTAATTTTTGTATTCCCCGATAGTTGTAAAAATATGTAGGAACCTCGACGAATTGGTAACAACGAGCTCCATCGATTACACAAAACGTAAACATATTTTTGAAAAATTGGGAGATTGCTGTTGCAATCTATTTAATTACACGAAAGCATTGGAATATTATGGAAAAATGCTTGAGTGTGCCCAACTCAATAATGAATCCGGAAAGTCCTTAATACCAATATATGTCAGTCTGTACCAAACATATAAGGACAATAATCAATATGATGAGGCATTAAAGTATCTGTGGATGGAGTTTGATTTGAATAAAGACGTGCCGAAGGAAGCCTTTTCAACGTTGTGCACCATTGCTGAGGTCTGTGAGATGCAAAAGCAGTCATTTTGGACCATACAAGACATTTACCAAAAGGCTAAGGATCAGGCCATACTGGCTGGTGACAGTCAAATGAAGTTAGAAAAAATTGTGTATGCACGGTTGAGGAAGCTACAATTGAAACACAATATGAATATATTGGCAGAAGAATTGGCTCAGGAAGCGTCATGCAAAGGTATGTATGAGAAAAAATTGTATGCTGTAATCAATACGCGTTAATGGGATTCCTATTGCACGTTTCCACAACTCTCAGGGTTTAGAATTACGTACATTTCATCAATATAAGTAATAATAGATTAGATTCTGTCGGGGACTTTTGGTTAACTGTATTTTTCCTGAGTATGTGAAAGGGAGAATATAGAAAAGAGGAAAATTACAGGAGAAGGTAGCAGAGGAAGAATTTCATAAGAAATAGAAATAGTTGCGTAAAATTCGCCGGCGATTGATTCAAAATATGCTCTTTTCGTTTGGGATCATTCTGCGAATGAATTTATCGCGATAATTTTTTTACCAAACGAGCATTCGCCAAACGAATGTTTGCACACACATAACAAAGGAGCAGAGCTCCGAAATGCTCGCTCGAATTCGAGTAAAGAGTGAAACTCGCTCGAATTCGAGCGGGAGTACTCCTGCGAGTAGAAAAAGTAAATAGAGTATACTCTATTTTTATTTGTCACTCAAATAAGAGCGCAAGTGCTTCGCTCGTTTTCGAGTGAGAGTGAATTACGCTCGAAATCGAGCATATTACACTCTTGCCGAGTACTCTTTTATTTTTATTTTTTTTTGTGATACCGTTGTTTTACTTGATGTTGTTTGTGTGCATTGTTTGTTTAGTGAGGTTTGGTTTGCAGTACTGCTGGGAAAGCATGTATCAACAAGATCGTTCTCTGCTCTTTGCGCACCCCTAGTTTATAGCTTGTCGTAGAAAGAGCAATTAGCGCACTGACATTGATAGTGACAGCAAGACGAACCAGCCTCCAAATTGAAACCCTCGACAATATTTTGATACTAAAATTAAATAATGAACCACTTATGGATTGATGGGTTTTCTTTCAAACCAGCGCTTTTAATATTTGTAAAGAATACTTTCTACATTTTTTAATGAATACAATTTTCAATAATTGTATGGAGGTGTTTATGTCTTTAAACAAATATTGAATTAATTAAACCACACGGTTAAATTCCTTTTATAAATATAAAATTAAAAAAAAAAAAAACAAAACATATAAAAATCTTATATGGTATAAAATTTTTATTTGTACCTCACATGTGTGAACATTTTCAATAAACAAAATAATCAATGTTCTTTTTTATGTTTTTTGTACATGAAAATGTTTGCTACTACACACACACAAATAACCAAACAACCACATTTATTTGTCCACTCGATTCCACTCTTAGAGTGAACTCTTACTCTATTTCGAACATTTTGACTCACACTATTTTTCTTCAACAAGGAGTACCCGCGAGCACTCCCAAACAAAATAAAAGAGTGGAGAGTCTACTCCCTAAAAAACTCGTACTCTTTACTTACTCCCACTCGAGAGTATTTTTCACTCGCGAGTAAAATCGAGCAAATCGGAGCTCTGCAAAGGAGTGAGCGCACACAACAACGATCGTTTATTGAAATTCTTTCTGACATTCCCCCACGAATGAAAACGAACATTTGCGAATGCTGAAAACAAAAACAAGAATAACAGTGAACGTTCGTGAACTCAATAGTTGTTGCGTTTTGTTATTCCACACATGCTCAACACTTGCTATTACACACACATTCATTCGCTGTGTTTACCCTGTAGGAAATGTCTACAGTAAATCAGTATTGACTTACTATTGACATTGTCACCAATACTGTTGACCGACTATACCCAACACAATGCATTTTACTATTGACATTTATCATGTGCTTGTCATTGGAAATGAACTAGTAACATGGTCAGTAGTTTTTAGATATATACACAGTGTCACATATGTGGACACGGTCAGTAGTAAGTCAATAGTTTGTAGATATATACAAAGGTCATATATGTCAATTTTAAATTTTTAATAATTTCTTTTGCTCAAAATTTTTTCTTCAATCAATCCAATTCAATTATCCAATTACCATTAATAACTTTAAACTCGCGTTTTTAACAAAATTTCTGTCTATTGCCGCCAACATATTTTTAATTAAAGAAAAATAAGAAGAAGCATAACCATGCTCAGTTGGCTGTTAACATAACAAATGTTTTTTCTTATTACATGATATGTAGACAAGTTGTAGAAAATATGGAGACATTTCCTTCAGGGTATGTTTACTTTTTTATGATCTTTTTGACAGCGCTCGCGAACATTTGATTTTTGAGTTTTTCAAATGAATGCCCTTCAGCAACGAATGCTCGCGAAAGATCGAATCGACCAGCAAAAATTTATCATTCGTGAATTTTTCGTGCAATGCGAACATTCGCGAGAGATTGCAAATGCTTGTTTATTCACTGTAGCTTTATCATTCGCCATAAATTGAAAACAATCGAATTCTTGCCGTGAGCATTGGAGAGAAAGAGCGTAGTTTAATCGTTCGCCTGAACATTTTCTGTTACACACACATTCATTCGTTGTGTGTTTTCAGTTTTTAAATATTTTTGTTTGTTGTTCAAGGTTACCGTTGTGGGCTAAAGTCGCAATTTGATACATGTTTGATGCCCTGTAACTCCGTTTGCAAATTTTAAGCTTTGTGCAACTTTTCTTCCATGTTTTCAAACTAATTTGGGTTTGTCTACGTCGTTTTTGAGTTCTAAGGGTATCTCACATATTCTCGGAACAGTTTTATTGACAAATTTACTTTTGACTTTTTTCGTTGGAACGATTTTTTGTGCAATTTTTTTATTATTCCCAGCGGTAACACTGTCGTTGCTTTTAACAGAGTTCGCGAGCATTCGCGAACATTTGTTATTTTGAGTTTTTCAAATGAATGCTCTTCAGCAACGAATGCTCGCGAAAGATCAAGTCGACGACGCTTGCAGCGAAGTTTTATCGTTCGTGAAGATATTGCAAACTCTTGTTCATTCATTGTAACTTTATCATTCGCGATAAATAGAAAACAATCGATTTCTAGCCGTGAGCATTCGTGATAAAGAGCGTATTTCAATCACTCGCCGCAAAAACTCCTTATGAAGTGCTACTACTACGTGTTTGCTGATGATAATAAGTAGATTTAGGGCATTCTTTAAATATGGAAATATTGAACCGGGTGTTTTTCACGCGTTCCGAATATCAAAATGTTTCTGCATGGCGCAATGAACATGTTTATTTAAATTTTAATATTTATCACGAATGAGATTGAACTACTCAAATAAAGAGACTAATTTTAACATACCTAAATACAATTTAATCTAATTTGCAAATGAAAGGTTTAAAAAGTAATAAAAATAAAATGAGATCAATCAGAATTCAAAACAAAATTCTTAAAATATTAAATAGCCTATCATTCATCAATAAGTGCAATATGAAATATTGGATAAAAGAAAATCATGAAAAGTGTCGAACAAGTCCCTTATAGAAGATTGTGAGTGGAACACTAAAATTTTAAGGATCACTGGGTAAAGTGTTATACAAACGTGCGACACGTACAAGAACTACGCATTAAAAAGAACTATATGCTCATGTAAAACTATTCTTATAATTTAGGCATAAATATAAAATCTCTTGAAGAGGACAGCGACACCGAATCTGAAAATGTAAATTCAGAAAACCTAACCGCCGATTCGGATGATGATGTTTGCCTGGACGACCTTACCGATTCGGATACTAGTGATTTGGACGAAACAGAAAAGCCAAGACCACATAGAGTCACTCGTGGAACGCGTTCGTTAACTATCAAACGCAACAATAAAGGAGAGACACAACTCCACCAGGCCTGTATTGCGGGTAACATTGAACTAGTCCGTCGTTTAATAGACCAAGGGCATGTTGTTAATGTTAGAGATCATGCTGGTTGGTTACCGCTGCATGAAGCATGCAATCACGGTTACCGTGATATTGTGGAATTGCTACTCGACAGAGGTGCTTCTGTTGCCATAAATGATAAAGGTGGCACAAGCTGCGATGGAATTACACCTTTATACGATGCCTGCTCAAATGGATTCTTTGATGTTATCGAGTTATTGCTAGAGCGTGGAGCTGATGCCACTGTAAAAACAGATTTTGGTGATACTTGCCTAAATAGTTTGGATAAATGGCGGCATTCAACCACTTTAACCGAAGGCGAACAATTGCAGTACGAACAAGTGAGGAGTAAACTAATAAAGACCTTGTCAAAAGTCGGAATATGTTCATCACAGTCTGTCAAGCCACTAACAAATGCAAACGTAGAGTACAGTCGAAGAGATCACAACAAGAAAAGCGATCAGAGTCTCCTGACAGATGACGAGAGCAACAATACCGATGAAGAAGAGAATATTCTTCCCACATCTTCAACACGTTTGAATAGGTCTTTAGATAAATGTCGAACAGAGTCGCCCGTTAGTGCTGGAGCTGTTTACAAGAACGCCATTGAGCAGCTTAAACGACCACTTTACAGGCAAAATTCGTCGGAAAGTGAGCCAGATGTTGGATTATTAGCGAAAAAACAGAAACGTGGAGCCTACATGGATACCGAAGATGTGGATGACGATTCTTGGCTTATCGACGATATAGGACCGGAAAAGAAAAAACGTCGATTCCACACCACCCCCTCAAAACAAGTACGCCAAAATAAAAAATCTCCTTCCAAAGATTATTACTCCAACGAGTCCAGCAATTCAAGATGGCAAAGAGATTCGTTGTCGCCCGACAATGATGCTTTTCAGATATTGCTGGATGCAGCGACCGGCACAAATTCGCAACAGCGGCAGAAAAAAACCAAAAAACTGTCGTTATCTCGAAAATCGAGTGTTAGTAGCAATGCCAGCACTTCCCAATCGTCGCAACGCCATAAACCTAAACACCAAGCATCTCTAATTGACAGTGGATTTTGCCGTTTTCGCAGTGAAAGTCCCCAACCATCCAGTGAGGATTCTAATGACACGAACACAGCTATAAGTATCCGCACTGAACCCGACTCTACCACAGCTTCTATACAATTATTAATTTCACCGACAAAGTCGTCGCCGATAAAGGTGCAGACAACTCAGTTGTGTTTGCCCACAACAATTTCCTTCAAAGTCAAAGTTGAAGACGAAATGCTGTTGGTGCCGATCGAGAGGAAAAAGTTAAACGATATAAATATGCGTTGGTTAGCCGAAGAGGCGGCCCGAAGATATTACAAGTAAGTACGGCTGGGAATTCTTAAAATCGGTTGCCTTTTTTAATCAATCTTTTCCACGCGAATCTTAAGTTTGGTTGGATTAAAACCGACATTGCGGCTTAAAACTGCCGATGGCTTTGCATATGAGGAAAGTGATCTAGTTGCTGTGGCTGTTGAACAAAGTATGATATTAGCTACAGTTCTTGAGTGGCAAATTTCACCGTTGGGACAGCGCTACGAAGAAATGTGTATACAGTTACATAAAGGTGTGTGCAGTGTATGGGTTTTTAATAGGACATACAATATTTACTAATTTTCGATATTATTTTTTTTCTTTTAGATGTAAACAAGGAAGTGTTGGATGTTTTGCAGAGAGCACAAATTTCAAATGTTATCCAATTGAATGATTTGTGGCTGTCGCCCCTTCAAACGGAACCCATATTTAAAGCAGTTTTACACCAGTCCAATCTGAGAAGTTTAGATTTATATAATAACTCTTTGCAAAACGAGGGTTGTCGACAATTGGCCAAAGCGCTGCCCACATTAACAAATTTGATATCACTGAATTTGAGTGGTAATTTGATTTCCTCTGACGGTTTAGAAGTAGTGTTGTCAGGTGCATCCAATTTGAGTTGCATTGAAGAAATAATTTTAAGTCAGAATCCTCTGCGAAATGATTCTGTTCGCATCTTAGACCGATTCTGTGCAACATCGGCGGGAAAGTCGTTAAGAAAATTACATTTGTCCCACTGTAATTTAACGAATCTATACGATTTTGATTTAAACTTTTACGAACTAGTGGATTTTGACATCAGCTTCAATCAACTGAAAGAGGAATCCCTTCAAAAAATACTGACTAAACTAAATTCGTGTCGATTACAAAGTCTGAATTTAAATTACATAAAAACAGATGATGAGTTTAAGAGTGGTGGCGCGGCTTTGTCGTCGAGAACAACCGAACGGCTGATTACATTTTTTGAGAGCGGCACATGTGAAAAGTTTCGTAGTATTTCACTTGCGGGATGGTACCTAAGTGATGTTGACATTTATAAAATTGTTTTATGTCTGAGTCGGGCTAACGACTTGGAAATTTTCAACATATCCGACAATGAACGCCTATCAAGTTCTTCTCTTCACTTTACTCTTGACAAAATTCCTCAGTTACGAAAACTGTTGGCTGGAAATTGCATCCGCCTCTTGGATGTTGACAACTTGCAACGTCTTTCACAATTACAAAGCATTCCAAATTATATGTCCTTTAGTATAGATCGTGAAATATCAGTGACAGACTTGACACATCAGTTATCTACCTTGTGGATCAGTCTTTGGGGGGATAGAGGTAAAATAAAAAAATACGATAATAATATAATTTTGTATGTAAATAATAAAGATTTGTGTGATTCGTAGTTTTTTAATAAATACAAAAGTATACGGCTTTGCTACCTCCAAAGGGAGTTGTTTTGTTAAACATTTTACTGTTGGCAAGTTGGGAGTTTCAGGGAATTAAATCAAGTCGTCTGCTTAAAAAAACACTGAACATATGTTTAAACAAAAACAATCAATAAATGTATTCAAAATTCTTGAGATACGGCATATATTGCTCGTGTCATCCGTAGCGCTGAGTCAACTAAAGCGTTGGGCCCTGGCCAAATATCCATGATTATGCTGAAACAGCTGGACGAGCACGGAATTGAATATCTGACCAAAGTCCGCAATCTATATATAGCCACCTACATCCTTTCCGAAGCCTGGAGAGTTTCTCAGGTTCGATGATATCTCCAGAACTATTTAAACTCCAGGCGGCATTGAGATCGTTACTTATGTAAATTATTGTATGATCATGGCGTAGAAACCTATCGTTGGGGACATATCGCTCATTTGCTGCTAGAGAGGCATAACTAAAAAAACGTTATTTTCGAGTTAATGATGCACGATTGTTCGCTCTGTCCCAATAAAGTGTGAGTAAATTGAAAACTTAAAACGCATTTTCTGCAAAATCGTTTTTTAGTTATGCCTGTCTTGCAGCAAATGAACGATATGTTCTGGTCTGGTCAAGTTGCCTATCGAGCAGTTCTAAATAGCATTATTACACATTGCCGTTTAAAATCAAGTTTGACTCGGATATTCCTTTATAAATTGACATTTCATACAATGCCATGTTTAAATTGCAAGCTTGAGTCCTCGTACAGTGTTTCTCACTTAAAAAAAAACAGCTATGTAGTTAGTGGCTTCTTCTGTTAAATATAACAAGTGGTTGCGTTTATTTGACATTTTCCAACAAATAATTAAAAACGCGAATCATTAATGAAAGGTTCTGATTTTTTCCCAAAATCTTGTAAGAAATATCATGAAATGTTTGTTTCATCCATAACAAAAACATCTGATATCAGAGTTTTCGGCAAAAGTTGTGAGCTGGGAATTTGTCCCATGGTAGTGTTCAGTGTACAACTTTATTTCCCAAAAAACATGAATGAATGACATAGTCCAGGATTTTGCAATTCATTCGAAAGCCATAAAGCAGGGAGTGATTTTGGCATTTGCCATGGTTCGTGTGCTGACAGCTTTTTCGTCATAGATAAACCCAAGTTGTAAAGAAAAAGTTTACGTTTTCTTTGGGGTTGTTTATCGTTCGAATCATTTTTGGTTATTAAAAGTTCTTTTATATACCCAATTGATTTTCTTTCGTATTGGAAGAAACCTTTCTTCCGAAATACATAAACAGGCTGTTAATTATTTCGAAAGAACTAATTATTCACTCTAACCCGAAGCAAATCATAAAAGAAAAATGCACCACTTTTAACAATGTTATAAAATGTTATATTAAATGATTTTAACAACTTATTTATAATAGACAACGATAAAAGCGCCACTGTTGATATTTCTTAAGTTTATAATAATAACTACATTTGGACCTGACAACATTTCCTTAGGAATTTAGTCTTATTGGGAAGATTGCTTGGCTGCCTCAAACATATTTCTTGAAATGATAAGGCGTTGAATCTGTGATGTTCCCTCATAGATTTGATAAATCTTGGCATCCCGCATCAATTTTTCTACAGGGTAATCAGTGTTGAAACCGTTTCCTCCAAAGATTTGGACGGCATCGGAAGCGATTTTATTGGCCATATCAGCAGCATGACATTTGGCAATGGAGGCATAATAACTGTTACGGCGACCCTGATCGACCTCCCAAGCGGCCATGCGGTAAGCAAGGCGGCCGGTTTCTACACCAATAGCCATGTCGGCCAGCATAAATTGCACAGCTTGATGGTAGGCAATTGGAACGCCAAATGTTTTACGTTCCAATGAATACTTGAGAGCTTCATCCAGACAACGTTGTGCCAGACCAACAGCACCGGCAGCAACGGGGGCTCGTGTTTTGTCGAAAGTGCCCATTGCAATTTTGAAACCAGCTCCTTCGCCGATAAGAACATTTTCTTTGGGAACGCGAACATCTTCGAATGTAATACCACGAGTGTCAGATGCACGTTGGCCCATGTTGATTTCTTTGCGGCCAGGTGTAAGCCCAGGAGTATCGCGTTCAACAATGAACCCAGTAAAGGCCTTGCTAGCTGGGCATTTGGGATCGGGATTAGTACGGGCCAAAACGAAATACCAATTGGCGACACCACCGTTTGTGATCCACATCTTTTGTCCGTTGATAACATATTCGTCACCCTTCTTCTCGGCACGAGTCTTAATACCAGCAACATCCGAACCAGCACCAGGTTCCGTAACACAGTAAGCGGCCACCAAGGGTTCCTCAATTAGACGGCCCAAATACTTTTTCTTTTGTTCTGTATTGGCGGCGAGAATAATTGGAGTTTGCTACAAAACGTGAATACAGATAGTGAACAAATACACCAAGTGCCTTTGTGTATTAATACTTACACCCAATGAACTAGCCTCTAAAGCAGTCATAATACCAGTACAACCATATGCCAACTCTTCGGCAATTAGACAAGTTGTAAAGTTATCCAGACCCAAACCGCCAAATTCCTGGGGAATGTGATTGTTCATAAGACCCAATGACCATGCTTTCTTGACAATGTCCCAGGGATATTCTCCCGATTTGTCGTACTTGGCAGCAACGGGAATAATTTCTTCGCGGGCAAATTTGCGGGCCATGTCCTGCATTTGCTTTTGTTCCTCAGTCAAGCCAAAAGATGGTCCCGTGGCAGAAATGTGTGATACGGCGGCATAATTGCGTCTGCCAAATTGGCGTACCGATGTACCGGCAAGCTAAAAGTGTGGAAAATTTACGAAATGTCAGTTAAATATCATCGTCAGTTAAATATCATCAAACTGAAATGATTTTGTAAACGAAGGAAATATAAAACATTTTCTCCTTTAAGAACAAATAAAACTTTTCTTTCTACATTAATTATTATAAGAAAACATCTTTAACAATAATAAACTTCACGTGATATGCTTTATTTCCGTATTGAGTAACGTATGATCAGAGTCTCAAAATAAATACTGGTGATTTTAGAATCAATCTGGAAAAATCTAGGTTGTGGCTACAGGGTCAAAAATCTTAGGAAAACATGTAACGAAGTGCATTTTTCATGATAAGCATCCTGGAAAGTGTGTTTGTACTATGAATTTACAACACATGGAGACCTAGGAACACAAACATATTCATACATACTTATATCTGTGTACGTGACATACTATATACCTTAATTAAACGCTCACTAATTATAGAAAGGAACTATAAGGAACGACATATTGACGACATCTTGCTACACATATAATAACCATAACTGCACTATTACATTTACCTAGATTTTTCAAAGGGATACGGAGAGCCAAATATGAGTTGTATTAATTGACTATACAAACCAAGGTAAATTGTTATTCTGCCATAGTTTTAACTTAAATTTTTTATAATCTCTCCAATAATTGGCCTTAAATGAGTTTCTGTGTATTGACAGCAAATGTGAACAACCTATATCGATAGACATTCTTAATCCCAACCGCTAGTAAAGAAATTCCAAGCCTGTCGTCCTAAATTCCGGTATAGTCAGTACATCAGAATATTCCATAGAGCTGGAGGTAAAAAAATAACACATGTCTGCTCTAACTGTCAACACTTGAAATTGTAAGTCGGTCTTTACTACACAACCTCACCGAGACAATTGTTTTGAAATACTATTGCAATTTACAAAATGGCTTACAGCCACAACGTTAACCACCAATATAGTGTCTATTTCCGTATATAAAATTTGATCACGTTTATAAAGGCAGAATCGAAAAAATAGCAGTTTCAATAATTGTTAGTTGTTGCATTTTTAACAAAATGATATTGTATAAATACGAGTATGTATGTATCACGTACAAAACATATTTTTAAACCCAAAATAACAGGTTTGCATATTCATTGATATTAACATACATGTACGTATATCACTATATTTGTTCCAAAAAATCTGATAAGGACACAATCGCAAAAAAAAAATCACGCGCCTATCTCATAATAATTATAGATATTATAATGTGCCAACAAACACATATGTACATACTTATGTTCTTGGCCAATTTATATTGTTAAATAAAAACAAACACACACATAAATACATTCTCAGAAATATGCATATGTAGACAAATGGCAGGGTCAAAGTACAATTCTATAAGAAAATTGAAAATTCAAGTATAGGATTGTGGAACAACAACATTCAAAGAGCAACAAATTCAAATAACAATTATTTATTTATAACAGTAGACAACATAAAAATAAAAACGATTATCCATAAAGTTGATACATGTTACAAAATGTAATGTAATGTTGTACACTCATCGTATGTACTGGCATATATATACGTCAGCATTTTGTTAAACAAAGGGAACATTTAACCAAATGAGATAGGAATGTGTGTATGTTGATGTTTTCAATCAATTAATATTGACCGGTGTAAAAATGATAACATCATTTTTGCTTCGTTAATTTCCCGTATTGGACTTTGTCTAAACTATCTGACTATCTGTATATGTTTGTAGGTCAGCACAATCTTGTGAAACCTTTCAGGCGATCAGCGATATGAACATTATGTTCTACTTTCAGTTTTATGTTAAATTGACGGTGGATTATATATATACATATATATGTATTATTCATTGTTTGTTTTCAATGTACACTCTTATTCGCACTTTCTTTTATTTCACTGCCTTTTTACTCACTTTATACAAGAGAGACATTTTCAACTTTATTTGTCCGCGTATCACCCTTCCACACTGAACAGCTGCTTGTTTTCGAATGAGCTGCTTGGCTAGCCGGATCTCATGAATTGAAATCGCAAGTGCTGTGGCATTGTTATCAATTGGACATTGGACCCTCTTTGGTTTCTCTTCCTACCAAACAATGACACGCAGTGATGGACAAAAATAATGGCAATGTATAACAGTTTATCTGTCAATTTTTAAATAACACCCTAATGTTTAGTTCCTAAAAATGTATTAAAGTATTTATTCAAAAAAATAATAAATTTTAATTCATTGTAATATATTATATAATATAACTTCATATATATGTGCTAAGAAGGTTTTTGTCAAGATGTTTATGACAACACCTAAATTATGAAAATTGCGAATTTCAATTTAAAAAATACTAATTTATTATATGGAATGGCATATTTTTACAGTCGAAATCAATATCGTTATAAGAAATATCAAATAAAGGGTATAACTTTTTGCGACATTTTTGAATACCGTTGTTATAAAAATTCGAAATTATATTGATGGTTTTATAAATATACTGAATTTTTGCATTGAAGACTTAAACTTCAGCTTCAAATTTTATTGATTTAACGGTTCTATCTGTGGCACATAAAAAGTTAGAATTACTTTACAAACGACATATAGTTTAAAAGAATGAAAAAATCCTTTAAATGTTTTGATTTTGTTTTTTACTTTTGCATATAGCGACCAATTTCGCCGGTTCCTCAACAGTCGTTATAAGCAATTACGATTTAATCTACAAAGTTTGGAGATTTAAACAACTTATAAAATTAGGAAAATATCGGCACAATAATCAAATATTATTGAAATACTGAAATACTAGGTTTGTTCCATTACTTTTTTAATAGTAAAGCCAGTAAAAGGGAAACTTCTCAAAATCGCTCTCAGAGTACAAAATAATTAGAAAAGTTCGTGTAGGGAATACTATGAAATGTTTGTTTCATCCATAATATGTAATTTTTTCTATAAGAATGTCATAAGAATTTTGAAGTACAACAGTTCTGAACCCCTCTAACTGATATGATTAAGCTAATAAATTGTTAGTTTTAAGCTATTGAAGTAGTCTCTATTTTGTTGTTTTTTGAATCCCTTTGGCCCTTTGGGCTTGATTCTCGTATGTAAAATAAATTGAAATTGAAAAATTGTTCTTAGTCCCAAATTAGATTAGACGAGTTTACTTGTGGCAAGTCTCTGACTGGAGAGAAAGGGGCAAGGGGAATAGAAATTTAAAAAAATTGCTCGTACCGGCAATTTTCTAGCAATTCGTTTTGTGTATTTCGTATTTGTTGACATTTTATATTTATTTAAATGTGAAAAAAAACTATTGGCAACAAATGAAAAAATAAATATTTTCGAAACCGAATTGCCTTGATAGACGTTCAAAAGGGAACGATAAGAATTTGCATTAGTAAACTCGCCTAATATAAATCAGGACTTATTTCAATTAAATTTCAATATACATATTTCAATTTCATTTTTATTTATTTGACATCCCAGCTAATAATTTGTTACGAGTTTTTTTCCGAATTCGGAACGATACGCTGCAAAAGTTTCCGATTCTGATGCTGAATTCGTACCGAAATCGGAACAAAATTGTGGAAAGGTGCTCACGAATTCGGAAAAATTTGTCGGTAAAAAATGAGAAGAAACTCGGGTGAAATAAAGGGATATTTTATAGAATATTCGATTTTCGGCACAATTTCGGACAAAACTCTAAAGGAACATTTAAAAAGGCAGAAAATATAAAGATTTTCCGATTCTTTTCAGAGGTTCTAAAAAATTAACTCTGAAAAATTTAATCTGGCATCTCTGCAATGAAGTGTCAATAAAAATATTTTGCTCCCGCGAAAATTATAAAAATTAATAAATAGCTACTGAGCAGTATAAAAAAGAAATAATTTTATGTGCAATTAATTATTCCTTGCAAGAAGATCGGGTGTAGTTGAAGGAGTAAACTTTTGTTTGCTTATAACGAAGTTTGTTGCAAAAGTAATAAAGTTTTTTTGAAGAAGGAGAAGACGTCGAGTTGAGCTGCCGCTTTAAGCTTTTTGAGCAAGAGGTCATCATACATCATTTTGCTGAAGAAATAAATTAATATATATGTATATATATTCTCTCAAGAAATTTGCTGAACACCAGTTGGAATTGCATTTGAAGTCTTGGGCGCACTTGGTGTTGGTGTCATTTGCTGCAACATTGTTGTTTGTGTGCTGTTGTTGTTGGATTATCTTGTATCTTGTGCTGTGTACGGTTCATTTTCGTGAATAATGCCGTCTACACAGAAAACTTATATATGCCCTACATGCAGCAGTGTGGTTAAAGGTAACCAAAATAGTGTTGGATGTTGTATGTGCGGATTGTTCTTGCACATCAATTGTGTGAATGTTACTAATGGTGTTTTTACACGATATGTATTTTACATATGTGCTGTCACTTATTTCATCCATATGTAATTCCTTATGTGTGTCAAAATTAGCAGTGTACACAAAACATTTATTTTTGTGTTCAAATCGGCATATGTATTTTACATATGACATAACCTATAAACAAAAAAACACTTTTATTTTTTCTTAAATCAACATCATTTTTTATTAAACACCTACAAACGAAATAATAACTTGTAATTGTTGCCTTTTCATCCTTTTCTTTGAATTGCAATTGAAATATTTTCTTCCAACAATGTGTTTCATTCAAACAGCTGATTTCCTTATGTTTCACATACGAAAATAGAGCGCGTCCTATTCGGAAAAAAAATACATATGTACATACAATATTCCGTATGTTTCACATGACGAGTTCGATTTCCATATGTAAAAAAGTGACAGCAATACATATCGTGTAGAAACACCATAAGGAGCAGCACAACTTTTATACAAAAATAGAAAGAATATGATGTTTTTGTTCAAATGTCCAGCATGTATAAAGAAAGTAGCGACCAATGAAAGCGATTGCCATGATGTTTCTAATACCAGTAAAGCAGATACGGAGGGTGTTAGCGACGTGGATGATGTTGTTTTTGAAACAGTACGAAAAGAATTTGATTCGTAAAAGTTATGCTTGGAGAAACAATTTGAGAGTTTTATGATGAAGATGAAAGATGTTGTCAAGACAATTCGTGCGGATGTTGATAAGAGCATTCAGCAGTATGATGTATTTATGCGAGATTGCAGTAGTACTATAAAAAAAATTAGAGCAAACAATGCAAGAAGTAGAGATTGAAAACGATGTTCTGAGAAGACGCTTGAATAGGTCTAACGTCATTATCAGTGGTTTGCCCGATGGCATAAAGAAATTGAGAGATCCGGTGCAGAGAATAGCTTCAATGTGTGGAATTGATATTCAGTCCAATGATATTAACCATTGTTGCTATATATCAAAGGGCAAATCTATACTGGTTAAATTTAACTCTGTTTATGTTAGAGATAGCCTCATGGCGAGTTATCAACAGCGCCGTGATCCGCTGTTACTTTGTGATGTTACTGGTACTGATATAAGAAGTAAAGTTTATTTGAATGATCACCACAATCGTGCTGCTTCCAAGTTGATGTACCTGTGTCGTAAGGTGTGGAGGAGTAATAAAATTCGCAAGTTTAAACTTATGAGTGCGGATAGACCGAAAGCGATTGTTATGCTTCCTAATGGCACGGAGGATGAGTATGATGTGGATCGGTGCATAAGTTTGTTGAGTGCTGATGATGTACCAGCTTCTACTTCTGGGCTGAGTAGTGGTAATATTGGGAGCAGTTAATTCTTTATATTTTATTAGTATAATTATTTATTTATTTTTATAAATTTCCGGGGTTTTTTCATTTATTTTTTTTTTGGCAATGAATTAAAATTTGGGTGATGTAATAAGCGATAATGGCTTTTTAAATAATCATCTATCTAACTTGAACAATAATTTCAATATTGGTCATATTAATGTTCGAAGTTTCAATTTGAGTAGAAATACGTTTAAAATCCATGAACTTAGGAATATTTTAGAAGGAAAAAATCTTGACATTTTCGGGGTCACTGAATCCTGGTTAAAACCTATGGTATCATCTGATTCGATACAAATACCCAATTATGTTTGTTATAGGAGTGATCGCCTTGATAATAGAGGAGGATGTGTTGTGTTGAATGTTTCTCAATGTATGAAACATAAATTGCTTTGCAAAGGCAATTATTTTGGTGTGGTTGAGTATGTTTTCCGTGAAGTTGTAATTAATAACAATGTTGTGTTAATAGGTGTAGTTTATTTACCACATGGTGATATTGTTGCCATGGAAGAAGAAATAGCTGATATTGTTGTTAAGTACTCCAATGATGTTATTATGGGAGATTTCAACAATAAAATGTTTGATTTGTCGCGTAGTTTAGTTGTAAGACAGTGTTGTAATAGAATGAATCTATCTGTTGTGCATAATTCAATGCCGACTCATGTTGACATTGCACATTGTTCTACCTCGTTATTGGATTGTTTTCTTATTTCTTGTGTGAATTCGTTGGTTTTATCGAATCAATTTTCGTGTCCTGGTATTTCGGACCATTCATTTATATTTATTTCTCTTAGTATGCCTTGTCGTCAGATTAGCCAGTTTTACGAGTATCCAGATTATGACTCAGTTGACCCTGTTGCTCTTTTTGATGCCGTTTCTTTGTGTGGCTTAGATAATGTGTATTGTGTAGCTGATGTTAATAATCAAATTGATATACTCAACAGTGGGCTTCGTCATGTACATGATATTGATTGATTTGATTGGTTTAAGTCTCCAGATGTGCGCTATCATTTAAAACTTCGAGATATTGCCTATAAAGCATATCTTCGTGACAAGAAACTGATAAACTGGAGAAATTATTGTACTTGGCGCAATCGAGCGAAAAAAGTTGTTAGGAGAATAAAACTAGATGCACATAAGGACATGTTTGCTGATAAAACCACGAAGGAAATATGGTCAATTTTAAATAAGAATGGTATAAATGATAAAGATAGTGAGGTAGATGATGTAGATGTTGAGAGGTTAAATTATAATTTTGTATCTAACCAGTCTATTAGCCAGTTTGATGTTTCCAGTGTTCTTGTAGGATATTATGATGGATTTTCGTTTCGTGCAGTTGATTTGTTTGAACTTATGGCAAAATTAGGTCCAGAGCTGTGGGTTACGATGGTTTCAAGCTAAAATTTTTGAAGTTACTGTTTCCCTTGATTGGGGGACATTTGTTGCACGTTGTGAACTCAATTTTAACAACGTCTTCGTTCCCTGATGTGTGGAAAATTGCTAAAGTGGTGCCTATACATAAAAGTAAAGATACTAGAGATTACCGACCTATATCCATAATGCCTATTTTATCTAAAATGGTGGAACATATCCTAAAGGATCAAATGTTTGGTTATATTAATGAGCGATCACTACTGCATGATAGCCAATATGGATTTAGACGTAATCGTAGTACGACATCCCTGCTTGTCGGCTTGACTGACAATGTAAGGAAAACTGTTGGTGCTGGTGGTTGTGGAGTGTTATTGTCACTGGACCTTGAGCATGGTACAATTATAAAAGGTAACAGCAAATCCCAGCTGATTTGATTCCAACGTAATACTAGTGTCAATATGAATTTGACAAATTATGTTTTTAAAAATCACCCAACAGGAAAATTGGGAACGCATACAATTTGAAATTGTTCTTTATTAATGTGCTCCCGTATTCAATTTACTCAATCTGTCTGCTGGGAAAGTTTGAGGCAGCAAATCTTTCTTGAAGGAATAACTCGCTATTCCCAGCATTTTCATATGTGTTACACATATATATGACAATGGCTCAATTATAGGAATGATGTGGAAGCGATATAAATATACATTTGATAGATTTTCATTCATGTTTTTCTATTTTTATTTTGAGGATTCGAAAATATTTCATTTTCAAAATAAAAATAATTTGATGATAATTTGTTTGTTTGTTTACATTTTTCTGTCAAATGAGTTGACACTAGTAGAACTTACAACAACAAATTTCCATGTGGTTGTTGTATCGTTTTTTGTACAAAAACACTTGCTGTTACCTTTTATTATTATACCATGGACCTTGAGAAGGCTTTCGATAGAATCAGTCATTCCATATTGGTTGATAAGTTGTATCGGTTCTTTAATTTTTCATCGTCAGCATGTAAGCTAATTTTTTCATATTTGTTTGGCAGAAAACAATATGTTGCTTGTAAAAATTGTTTTTCGAGTATGTTGCCAGTAAGTAGTGGTGTGCCTCAGGGGTCTGTTCTTGGTCCCCTGTTGTTTGTAATGTATGTTAATGATATGTTCAGTAGTATTAATAGTAGAAGTTGTATGTCATTTGCGTTTGCAGATGATATACAAATATTATTTAAAGGAGAATATGTGTTCATGGATGTGTTGCAGGCCTCGATTGATTTCACTGTTAATGTGTTAGTTACGTGGTTGTCTACCAATAGGCTCTCAATAAATGTCGAGAAAACCAAAGTTATGTATTTTGGCAACATGCGAGCGGATTCAATAAATGTTTCCATCTATAGTTCCCCTATAGATGCTGTAAGCTCCATGAAGTGTCTTGGATTGTTGCTTGATAGTGGTTTGGTGTTTGATGTGCATGTTAATTCGTTAGTGTCCAAGGTAAACTTTATTTTACGAAAGTTATACTGTTTGGACGTTGCCCTGCCGAAAAATATTAGGATACAGGTAGTACATGCGCTGATTATGCCTCACATTATGTATTGTGTTGAGATTTTTGGTGGCAGCTGTGGTTTTGTCTTGCGCAAACTTCGGCTTTTATTCCACAGAGTAATGCGTTATGTGTTTGTACTTAAGTTACGTGATCATGTTTCTCCTTATGTCAAAGAGTTTCTTGGCACTTCGTTTGATGATTTCCTTAAAATCAGAGGTATGCTTTTTTTCTATAAGGTTTACAAAAACCCAAACTCCTTCCTCAGTAGTTGAACTTTTTTCGTTCAGTAGGTCTGTGAGAAATACTCAAATCCAAGTGCCTCGTTTGAACCCATTGTTGGAGAAGTCTTTCCATGTAAAGGTAGCTCGGGTGTTCAATAGTTTGCCACAGGTTCTCAAAATATTCAGTGTTTCGTTAAAATGTTACAAGAAAAAGTTACTTCAATATGCAGATGTTCATGGATTTTAATGTAAATATTTATAGATGATTTATCCTATGCTTAGTTTCATATATTTTTATTTTTCATATGTTTTAATTTGAATTTATGAATTTATTAATAATTAATCGTTAATTAATTTTAAGCCTTTGGAGTAGTTCATGTATTGTTGGTTATGATATAATTAAGTGATATACTGTTAATTTTAAGCTTTTGGAGTAGTCCATGTAAAGAAGTTTTTGGAATCGCTCATGACCCTTTGGGCTAGGTTCTTGTTTATGAAATAAATTGAATTGAATACTTTCGAATATTTAATTCGAAAATCGTAAAAAAAATCTGACACGTATCGGATGTTTGAACCGAAATTCGTTAAAAAATAATAATAATAAGTAATATTTTGGAACATATATGTATGCGTATACATTTTGTTCTTTATTCTTTTATTATTACAAATACACCCAAGCACTTATTTTTTTATATTTATATAAAACCCATTGTGCCCCGAATTTTTCCGTAATTATTCTCTACATTATTTTTTACAAGAATCAAATGTAATTCTAATGGCAGAATTCATACAATTCGAATACGAAGCAATTTAAATAATTTGGACTGTATAAACAAATTGGTACTGTACACATTTTTCCCTCTTCTCCATATTGAAGGTCTCATAACTTTTCCAAAAATTTGAATTTTTTAGACTTTTCTTTTGATATATGTCGTCCATAATCAGGTCTCGACATATGAATTCAAAAAAGGATGGGGGCTTTCATTTGAAATGAAAAGAACCAAAGTCATATACAAAATGTGTGACTGTGTATGTTAGTTATGTTTTGAAAAATATTCGAAAATCGATTTGTTTGAAGATGAATACGTTAAGAAGAAATGTATGATTTGTAAATGAAATAACATGTTATCATATCCCCAACTCGATCTTGAAAAGAAAACATGACATTCCATTCATTTTTCGCGTTTTTTGGTAAAATGTTAAATATATGTCAAATGAACAGAACGATTGTTGCATTTGTTTTGATTTATTCTGACATTATTGGCCATAAGGTAGAGGTGTATTTTCTCCTTTGTGACAAAACGATATTTCAGTAATGTTCTCATTAGTGTGTACACATCTTCATGTTATTATTGCTATAATTTCTGGGCACAAACAGTCGGAATTGAGACAAGACACAGAAAACATTGGCAACCCTGCTCAGAACGTAAACAATAACATCTGTATATGACGTACACATTTTTTATTGTTTTTCTTTCTTAAAATAATCAATCGCTTGGATCCACAGAAAAATAAACGAGTATCTTCCAATTTATCACATTATTTTAATAATCGAGAGTAGTGCTATAGAGACCGAGCTGCCCAAAGATTATTGTTGTAAGAAACGTATAAATCGAGATACCCGAATTACGCCGTTGACACTTTTCGTAAAAATGTAGTTAGTAGTCGTCCTAATCGGTACTGCCAATGTTCGTGTAAATTTACACATTTGTGATTTCACAAAGAGAAAAAATCGAACTTGAAATAAAATTTAGGTTCTTTAAATTTGTCTACCTAGCAAAGTATAGAAAATATGGATAAGCTTAAAGTGAAGGTTATTGGAGTGTTGAAAGAACGCGAATCAAAAGTGAATTGTACGAACGCTGACCTAACGAACGTTGCGACTGCAATATCCAACCAACGACAGTTGCAACAACAACAGCAGCAGCATCCCATAAGAATGTCAGCATTAGATATTTCGGGCATACTTAATTGTCGACGAAGAATGGAGTGGACCAAGGAATGGCTGAAGAAATATCAACACGAATTCCTAAACAAGGAAAATTTACGAAAAGATTTGCTCTTTCGCAGTAACGAAGTGTACCACATCAATCACTTCTTTAGCATAACAGAAAAACAATTTCGGCATCTAGTCAATATATTGGAACCTCTTGTAATGGTTTTGGAACCGCAGCGAAAGAAGAAAACATTTAGTGCAGAGGAGAGAATAGCAATAACATTGAAATATCTGGCAACCGGTAAGTACTTTACATTTATTGTAAACAAATTCCGTTGTAATTAATTTGCATATTAATTTTCAATTTCAATGTAGTCAGTCAGAGGGAGTGGTCCGTCCTAATTAACCTAATAATTATTTCTAGTTTAGAATTGTTTTATCGATGTTGTCGATGTTGTATATTATATCACGGGCTCAAATAATTGAAACCAACACCAAATATAAAGTATGTGATTCGTTCACTTCCCAGTTATTTTAATTACTTGTTTCCATACGAGGTTGAATTTTCCCTTTTACATTCCTTTCTACATAACACGCAATTTGCCCTCATTGGTTGGGGGTTCAAGACTTTCTTCCATGGGAAATTTGGCTACGCGAAAGTAATTTACTTATAATTTCAAATTTTCGGAACTTCAAATGCACCTACGCTAACTCAACATGTGTCAAGCAAATAAAACCCAAATGGGCTTATTGTGGGGGTATCGATATATATTCTAAATATTTAAAAAAATAGTATTGAAATGGAAAGTATCTGTTCAAATTTGGAAATTAGCCCATACTCGGCCACATTTCCTAATCCAATTGACTGGTATGAGGCTTTTTGGATTCCAAATAAGTATAATACATTATCGAACAAAACAATTCGATGCAGGTTCTAAAACATTTAAAGTTTGTAGGTGAATTTTCTATAGGTAGAAGATAATTTTTCTAGTTTTTTGTCGACTGCGATCTTTGAAATAGTAAAGATTGGTTGGTACCGTTGTGGTTTTCGCAGTGCCATTGTATATTATTGTTGTTGTAAGGTCGCAGGAAGTATCAAACATGTTCAAAGGCTCCTCTGACTAAGGTTTTGAATGTGCAGAAGTCACAAACAGACCAATGATAAATCATTCTACCAATGATAAAAGATAAACCTAAAAAGTATAAATATTTCTTCTCAGAATCCCTTGAAAGCTAGCTCTCGGTAAACTCACCTTCCCTCATGAACCATTTGTAGACTCAATTGCAATTCAAAAAGCTGAATATATCGATTTGAGTCATGACCAATAAAATTCAGAAGAATACTTTTGAAGAGGAAGTCAGGTTCCTTTAAATTTTTTTCCTGATATAGCAGGCAAGAGGCACACAAATTCCATACAAAGAAAGATCACGTTTTCAACACTTGTAAACCAACCTGGAACGTCGATTGAAGACTTTCTGCTTCGTTTTGTCTAAATATAATATTCAATTTTCTCAATATCGTATGATTTATTTTTGCTTTATTTTTTGCCATATGTAAAGCGAATATTAAAGCCTGTGTGTAATTCCGAATACCTCCGCAAACCAAGGGGGACATATATGTATATGTCGGCCGACTGACACTTTTTTACTTGTTCCATCTGATGACAAACATTAGATTTTTTAGAAATTGAGCAAACATGCGGATCTACAGTTAATCATTCAAATCAATGTACCAAATAATTATATTTATTTATTTTGTTTTATCTCATCCACAGGTGAAGTGAATTCATGCCGTAATTATTGTTTCCGTGCATCCAAACCAGTAATAATCAAGATGATAGCAGATATTTGTGAAAAAATATACGAGTTGTTGAAAGACGAATACGTATCCTTACCAAAAACCGACGAACAGTGGATTGGTGTCATTCGTGGCATGCAACAGTCTCAGCAAATATCAAATTGTTTGGGTCATCTGATAATGCGACAAGTTGTGTTCCACACTCCCAGCAGCCAGCCAGTTAAACCGCGTGCTATTTTATGGGATGCTGGTGAGGATAAAAGCTGCTCCAAACAACCACCTCTAATACTAACGGCTATAGTGGATGGAAATTATAATTTCTTACATTTAGATGTGGAAAAAACAAAAGCGAAATTTTACGATGAAATTTTTGAAAAATCCAAAATTCGGACATTAATTGAGGGCGACACAATGCTTATTCCTGCTGTGGTCAAGGATGCCAACGGAAGCTGTAGGTCATACTCATTTGCCAGTAGCTATTCACTGCCAGAAAAACATTACTTGAAAGCAATATCTGAGTTAGAGTTCAGCGCGATTAACAACGCTGAGACTAATGATGCATTGTGTATATTGACCAACATGTTTCCTGTTTTGGGTCAACCACTGCGTCTTTGCGAAGCGGAGGCCCAAAAAATCATTCTGGGTAGTATAGCATTGTATAATTATTTGCGTAAGACCAATCAAGAATACTGCAAACTAACCGAGAGAATTGTCATAAGCTCGTCTGAAAAACCCCACATTAACACTGAAGATGTTGATGACGAGTGTATACTCATTGAACAGGACGAATATGCTCCTAATGTATCTGATTCAACGTGCTTCAAAAGCTTGCGAAAACAACGTGGCGATATTCCAGCTGGCCTGGAGTGGTAACTGTAACTATATTTTTCAACTATTGTATTTTCGTGCATCTGTCTAGTTTAAATAAAAAAGAAAGAATCCAATTTATGAATAGTATATTTTGAATTTCTATTATATTAAATTTATTTTGTTTTAATTCATTCACCGTAAACTTTTGATATTCAACATCATATAGACGAAAATAAATAACAAAACCCACAATCTTTTCAGTGGCAATTGTAGTATCAACGTCGGAGGTTGCAGTGTTTGTCCCATTGGATTGTACACCAGAATATCATAAGTTTTATGAAATCATACAATTGATTAATTGTTCTACTTTATAGTGAATATGAATATCATATTTGCACGGCGTATATTAAAATTACTTTGGATCATCTAATAAATTATCATAGATATGAATACATATTTAGTTGTGTTATGAATTAGCAGTATTTTTATTTTAAAATAAATGTATAATTTTGTATATATACCTATGTATTCTTTTTGATTTATTGCGTCAATGTGGAAGTGTAGATTTTAATAGTAGCAACTAAAATATTTGATGATGTGTGTACATGTTTTTCCATTAATATACTTTAGACGACTCCGTTTTTAGGTTCAGGGAAATTACATTCTGTTCGAAGTGAAACTGGATACAGGTAGGTGAATAAGCAAATACATTTATCGTGTAATGTAAGGCGACCAAATTTAAAAATATCAAAAACACCGAAAACATTGCCTGCTAAATTCATGCACATCTTAATATTTCGTATGTTAAAAATTGTGCTGAAAATGATTTTATACGGAGCATCCAATTTAAGCAAATTTTGCACTATCTTACATTTTAACCATACCTCTGTATATTGTTGGGAGAGGGGACTTATGGTCCACTCCTTCTAGTACCCCCTCCACAAAGAGTCAACATTTTTAAAACTTTTTAAATCTTATAGGAAACGAACGGAATATCCAAATTTCATCCAATCTTTGGTTATCGTAATATTTTTACGTAGCCTAGAGAAATGCCCAATTTGTTCCAAGCTTTGCACGTCGTAATATTTTTTCCAGTCCTAGATCAAGTCCGAAGATTTGTAAATTGCATATGCATCGAATTTAGCTTTTTATATAAACGTAATTATGAATACTATGTGGTCAATACCTAGCAGGCCTTAATGCGGGTTCGGAAAGTTCTTAGCCTAGCACAAAAAATGCGGTATAAACAGAAAAAAATTAAGTGTTTTGGAAACTTCCATCTCTTTTATGAACACATGTTAAATTTTGTTTCGATTTGGCACTACTTCATTTATTCTGAATGTACTGAGGTCCGCAGTGTCTGTTCAATTTCAGAAAGATATAGATCCCAGTCGCGGTGATCTTTTTCAACATAGGTTCTTATCGCCGCTAATACCGACTGGTTAACTCGCTCGGATACATTTGATTGAGTAGAGTAGAACGCAGTTGTCATGTGATTTTTTGTAATTCTTGATCATTTCGATACGAATTGCTTCCCATTATCACTATGTATTACCTCCGGACAGTGTTCGCAAAAAAACGGTACACTATCGTAGTGTACCGTACCAGGAACACAAACACTAAAAAAAATTTAGCGTTAGTGTTCCGGTACACAAACATTAAAAAATATTTTAGTGTTACTGTTCTGGAGCACAACGAAATCCGCTGTCGGAACACTAAAAATCGTAGTGTAACGCGGTCGGAACACTAAAAATTCGTAGTGTTCCGCGGTCGGAACACTAAAAAGTCGTAGCGTACCGCGGTCGGAACACTAAAAATCGTAGTGTTCCATTTGACGGAACACTAAAAATTGTAGTGATCCACTTGGCGGAACACTTAAAATCGTAGTGTTCCATTTGTTGGAAAACCAAAAGATGTATTTATCTTTTATTTTTTGTTTGAATAAAATTTATATTTTTATTGTTTTTCAATAGAATTAATAAATATATTTTTTAAATTTTATTAAAAATTAGTAATATTAGCATCAACATTTTAACATAATAAATATTTTATAACTAAAAAGGGTGTCTAGTGACGGCCAACTCGTAACTGAAAATTCCATTGGAATGCATTTTGACTGATAATCGATTGCGCTAATCGGAAAAATGTATTGCATAAGACTACCTGTACAAAAATCATACAAAAAGAAGAATATTCCAATAATGGATATATGAAATTGGTTTTTTATATGGTACCTGTATGTGGTTTTGTAATATTTATCCCCAAATCATAAAACTACTTTTTCATATCCGCGTAATTTGTACATTTCTTTTCATGAATAAGCAGGTAATAATTATGTTGATTGTGTGACAATCACCAAATTTTGAAAATTTTTGCTAATATTTCCTAAAAGTATGAATCATAGATGGATACTGGTATAATTTTTTAAGAAAAAAAATTTCATTCTTGTGGATTTTTGTTTTGGCTCTAGGTCAATTGAAAACCTCGTTGTTTATGTTTTTCTTTTTTGTTTATTTTTATTTTCCAATATTTCGACTGTCTTCGGCAGTCATCTTCAGGGAAATACTACAAAACATACAAATATTTTAAAGATATAGACTTAATTGTATTGCACAGATCTTACTTTTATGAGAAAAGCAACCGATTTTCATCACCGTCTATGCTAAACTAAGTTTTTCTTTTTTCTCGTCTGTGCTTATGAACTATGTTTCTATAAATATGTGCACAGTGGTCCGTGTCAGTCTTATAATTCATTCTTCTATCGTTAGGTACATTAATTATGTTTAACATTTCTAATGTAAAAAATCGTCGTTTATAATTATTTTCTTGTGTCAATATGCCCACGTCTTTAAAATTCGGTGTATGTCCAGTTTTTGTGCATACACCGAATTTTAAAGACGTGGACATATTGACACAAGAAAATAATTATAAACGGTTTTTGTTATGCCGTCGTGAACTGCTTCCTTATAATTATAGGCTTTTTCTATCAAGGCGCATATTATCTCTTGGGATATTCATAATTTCCATTCAAATCCTTTATAGAGATCAGATGTTTCGTTCCTATGAAAATTTTATCTCCTTCGACTTTTAAATCTGGCAGTCATTCATTGTTCTGATTTATAGCGGTTTTGATGTCTACATACTCTTCACTTTCGAAGGCCGTAGTCTCGAAATCTGATAGATTTTCGTCGTATATCTCTTCCACTATTATGTCGGAATCTACAGACATCCCGTCTACAGGCGTGATCTGTAATTATGGTGAATTTTATCAACTCGATGTAAGGTCGGAATCAATTTACAGCTAGCACAGCGACTAAGCATTCTTTCACCGTTTTTGTGAATAGACTGCTATTGGGTTTTCCCAGTTCCCAAGAAGCTTCATACTTCTCTTGTACCTGTATCTTTTGTATGGCACTTTATTATCGGTTTTTAGACACCCACTTCCAATTACAAAACCGAGATATTGGCCCTCTGCATACATTCAGCTAGCTCGTTCAAAAGCCGTAAATGATTATCGAAATCATCCGCAATAATTAAGAGATCGTCTAGATATATAAATACGTTTGACTTCAATCTTCCTGGTATGACCTTGTCAATTAAACGGCATAATCGTTGCGCCGCATTACAATGAACAAATGGCATTACGTGGAATTGATAAAGCGGTCGACCTGGTACTGTAAACGTAGTATATGGCTTGGCATCCCCTTCTAGCTCGATTTGCCACAATATGTATTTCAGGTCGACGCTGTTTACGTATTACAAAGGATGTGCATCCTTTACAGTCAATCCATTTAATTTTCGCGCATCTAGACAGAATCTGTTCTTTCCTGGTTTTCTTACAACTGTTGTCCTGTTGCACCAAGGTGAATCGCTCTCTTCGATTACATTGAGAGCGAGGATTTTGTCATAGACGGGTCCTGACACCAAAGTGTGGAACTCATTTAAAATTTCGTCCCATGCCAACTGGTAATGTTTTTGAAAATACTCTAACGTATAAATGAAATCTTCCACTGAAATGTGACCCAGGGACGTACGAAATGATTTTTTCACAGTAAATTTATGTTTGTCACAGCGAATTTTTCCATTTTGTACTACCGGCTCCCCCAAAATGAAATCCTGTGTACGATGCTGCCCTGACCATACCCGGTACCATGGTATAATTATTACAAGGTAGGGCACAGCTACCAACTCATTACAATTTTTTCTCAAGGTGGCTTGTTCCATCAAATCAAAATACATATTTTGTGTATGTGTGTGTATTGTTTTGAATACAATGTCAAATAAATTCAAAATAAATTGAAATATATTAAAATTTAATAAAATGAAAATAAAGTTTTTAACACGTTCATCTGGAAGTAATTACTTTATTATGGATGAAAGAAACATTCCCTACTGAATTTTGGGAAGAAATCATAACCTTTCATTAATTTTTCGCGTTTTTAGTTTTGTGTTGAAAAAAAAATGTCAAATAAACACAAACACTTGTTTGGTATATTTATTTTATTTTTGGCAGAAGAGGCCACACGTGCATAGTTGCTTTTTTGTTATTCACCTCAAGCTGCCCTACCTTGTACTATTGTACCATGCCCGGTACTACCAATTGAGAGTGTTATTATATTCCGACTGGGAATGTTTATATTATGTTCGCTTTGTGAAGATGGAGGTTGAGCTGTACTATGGAGTGGTGGAGGTTGTCGATTAGCCGTATTTTGGTCATTACTGTTCCTGTTGTTGGTCAATCTGAAATAGCTTCATTCAAATGTTGAATGGCTGAATGAACCTTCTCCATTTCCTGACTTGGACCATCGACCTTATGCTTCCAGGAGCATCCCCGACGCTCTCTTGATCCATGATCCTCAACAATTGAATTATATACGACTGTGAATTTATTGGAATAGGTTGACTTGTTGCTGGATTCACGGACATTCTGACACCAGCACTAGTACTTGGATTGGGGGCAGTGTTGCCAAAACTTTGTTGAGGAAAATGCTAGATTTTGTTGAAAAAAATGCTAGAAAGTGCTAAATAATTTAAAAAAGTGCCAGAAAATAGTGCTAAAAATT